CCACCACGCCTGGCTAATTTTTTTTGCATTTTTATTAAAGACAGAGTTTCACAGTCTGGAGTACAGTGGCAGGATCTCGGCTCTCTGTAATTTCTACCTCCCAGGTTCATGTAATTCTCATGCCTCAGCCCCCTGGGTAGTTGGGATTACAGGCACCTGCCACCACGCCTGGCTGATTTTTTGTATTTTAGTAGAGATGGGGTTTCACTGTGTTGCCCAGGCTGGTCTCGAATTCCCGAGCTCAGGCAATCCACCTGTCTCAGCCTCCCAAAGTGCCAAAATTACAGGCATGAACCACCATGACTGGCCCAAAAGATTTCTTTATAGCATGCAATGCTTTTTGATAGCACTTTACTCACAGTGAAACTTCTTTCAAAATTGGAGTCAGTCCTCTCAAACCCTGCCACTGCTTTATCAACTAAGTTTATGTCATATTCTACATCCCTTGTTGTCATTTCAACAATGTTCACAGCATCCTCACCAGGAGTAAAATTCCACCTCAAAAATCCACTTTCTTTGCTCATCTATAAGAAGCAATACTCATCTGTTCAAGTTTTATCATGAGATTACAGCAATTCAATCATATCTTCAGGCTCCACTTCTAATTCTAGTTCTCTTGCTATTTCCACCACATCTGCAGTGACTTCCTCCACTGAAGCCTTGAACCCCTCAAAGTCGTCCATGAAGGTTGGAATCAACTTTGTATTAGCCCATTCTTGCATTGCTATAAAGAAATGCCTGGGACTGGTTAATTTATAAACAAAAGAGGTTTATTTGGCTCATGGTACTGCAGGCTGTACAAGAAGCATGGCAGCATCAGCCTCTGGGGAGGCCTCAGGAAGCTTCCAATCATGGCAGATGGCGAAGGAAGAGCAAGTCATTTCACATGGCCATAGTAGGAGAAAGAGAGTGGAGAGGAGGTGATCCACACTTTTAAGCAACTAGATCTCATAAGAATGTGATGACAGCAACTAAAGGGGGTGGTATTAAAGCATGAGAAACCACCCCCGTTATCCAACCACCTTCCTCCAGGCCCTAGCTCCAACACTGAGGATTACAATTTGATATGCGATTTGGGTGAGGACACAGATGCGAAGCATATCAAACTTCTCAACTCTCCTGTTAATGTTGGTTGGTTTTCTTGTTTGTTTGTTTTATTTTTTGTTTTGAGATGGAGTCTCACTGTGTTGCCCAGGCTGGAGTGCGGTGGCACTATCTCAGGTCACTGCAACCTCCACCTTCTAGGTTCAAGAGATTCTCCTGCCTCCTCCTACTGAGTAACTGGGATTACAGGTGCCCACCACCACACCTGGCTAATTTTTTATATTTCTAGTAGAGATGGGATTTCACCATGTTGGCTAGGCTGGTCTTGAACTCCTGACCTCAAGTGATCCACCCACCTTGGCCTCCCAAAGTGCTCAGATTACAGGCCATGTTGGTATTTTGACCTCCTTCTATTAATCACAAGTGTTCTTAACGGCATTTAGAATGATGAATCCTTTCCAGAAGATTTTCAGTTTCCTTTACCTAGATCTATCAAAGAAATAGTTCTATGGTACCCTTACAAAATGTAGTTTTTAAAAAATAGGACTTGAAAGTCTATCCATCGGCAACAGAATGGATGTTGTGTTAGCAGATATGAGAACAACATTAATCTCCTTGGGCATAGCCGTTAGAGCTCTTGGGTGACTAAGTGCATTGCTAATGAGCCATAATATTTTGAAAATAATCCTTTTTTCTGAGCAATAGCTCTCAACAGTGGGCTTAACATATTCAGAAAACCATGCTGTAAATAGACATGCTGTCATCCAGGCTTTGTTGTTCCATTTATAGAACACAATCAGAATTTGGCATAATTCTTAAGGACCCTAGGATTTTTCAGAATGATAAATGAACATTGGCTTCAATTTAAAGTCACCAGCTGCATTAGCTCCTAACAAGAGAGTCAGCTTGTCCTTTGAAGCTTTGAAGCCAGGCACTGACTTCTCCTCTCCAGCTATTAAAATCCTAGATGCTGGCCCAGCGTGGTGGCTCACGCCTGTAATCTCAGCACTTTGGGAGGCCAAGGCAGGCAGATCACTTGAGGTCTGGAGTTCAAGACCAGCCTGGCCAACATGGCGAAACTCTCTCTCTACTAAAATGTATAAAAATTAGCCTGGTGTGGTGGCGGGCACCTGTAATCCCAGCTACTCAGGAGGCTGAGGCAGGAGAATAGCTTGAACCCTGGAGGCGGAGGTTGCAGTGAGCTGAGATGGTGCCACTGCACTCCAGCCTGGGCAACACAGTGAGACTCCGTCTCAAAAAAAAAAAAAAAAAATTCCTAGATGCCATCTCTTTCTAATATAAGGCTGTTCTGTCTACATGGAAAAGCTGTTGTTTAGTGCAGCTACTTTTATCAATGATCTTGGTTAATCTTCCAGATAACTTGCTGCAGCTTCTCCATCAGCACTTGCTGCTCCACTTTGTACTTTCGTGTTATCGAGACAGCTTCTTTCCTTAAACCTCATAAACCAATCTCTGCTAGCTTCACACTTTTCTTCGGCAGCTTCCTCATCTCTCTCAGCCTTCATAGAATTGAAGAGGGTTAGGGCCTAGCTCTGGATTAGGCAGGCTTTGGCTTAAGGGAATATCATGGCTTAAGGAAACATTTGATCTTCTATCCAGACCACTAAAACTTTCTTTATATTGGCAATAAGGCTGTTCACTTTCTTATAATTCACATGCTCATTGGAACCATACTTTAATTTCCTTCAAGAACTTTTCCTTTGCATTCATAACTTGGCTAACTGGCACAAGAGTCCTCGCTGGGCTTTTGACATGCCTTCCTCACTTAGCTTAGTCATTTCTAGCTTTTGATTTAAGGTGAAAGATATGTGACTTTTCCTTTCACTTAAACACTTAGAAATCATTGTAGGGTTATTAATTGGCTTAATATCAATATTGTTGTATTTCGGGGAATAGGGAGGCCCAAGGAGAAAGAGAGAGTTTGGAGAAGGGCCAGTCAGTGGAACAGTCTGAATACATAAACACTTATCAATTAAGTTCACTGTCTTATCTGGGCACAGTTTGTGGCACCCCGAAATAATTACAGTGATAACATCAAAGATCACTGATCACAGCTCACCGTAACAGATATAATCATAATACAAAAGTTTGAAATACTGAGAGAATTACCAAAATGTAAGACAGAGACAAAGCCAGTACATGCTGTTGAGAAAATGGTGCCAACAGACTTGCTCAACACAGGGTTGCCACAAACCTTCCATTTGTGAAAAACACAATATCTGCAAAGTGCAATAAAGCCAGGCACAATAAAACGAGGTATGCCTGTATAAACAGCAACTGTCAAGTGATGTTTTCCAACTAGGATTAAAAGATTACATAAGGAATTTTTTAAAGGAATTCTATCTGGAAGAACTGAGCAACAATTAAGAATGCATTATAAAGGATATGATACTTACATATGTAAAATAAATTTACATGGTAAATTCCAACCAGAGTGAATGCTGCAGCTGGGTGTTCAAAATCTTTTAACCACACTGAGTTTGGCAGTGATTCTATACAAGGATATGATTTATATTCAAGGACTGACTATTTGGGTATCTCATCCAGATTCAAGATATCAAGACCCACATGGAATACAGCAATGAAGCCAAAGGAAGGAAAGGGAGAACTAATCATCATGGCCCTATTTCAGATGTAGCCCCTTTACCCATCTTACATTTCTGCACCTTTCATGCTTCTAAGCCAAGTCAAACAGTTATGCACACAGTGGATAACTTACGTCTGGCCTAAGGGCCTACCCTTCAGAAAGGTACACATGCTGGAGGCAAGGAAGCTGAGCTGCAATTCTGGCAGATTTGTACTGATGGGTTGATCTACAATGACTCCAGCCACTCCTTTTCTGTGGAAGACACTAAAGGCAGTAAGACGATAGTATTTCTTTAGTTTGCTCACCCCTGAGATTCAAAGGGAAAAGAATGACAGCAGGAAATTGTTGCAAGAGCTGGGCATCCAAAGTCACCAAATACCATAGGATTGTGTGTGAATGTGTGCGTGTGTGTATGCATGTACATACACAAACACTAGTATACTCTTGTGGTATGGTTCAGTTAAACACTATGAGTCAGGTCAGGAGCAGCCAACCACTTTTTACCGCTCAGGTTCCTTCTGGGAATTTGGTTTTTACTTCTAGTGAGAAATCTGGAAAAGGCTCCACTGGTTATCCTTCTCCTGGGAGAAAGACCACATTAATTTTCCTTCTCTCTGGACACTGGGAAATTCTGTTCACTTAGTCTTGTTAGAGGGTTTATCAGGAGTTAATTTATGGTGACACAGCCATGAGATATTAAGAGTCCCTACAGAATTAGGTACAGCCTGCCTCATTCTTATAAGGTCAACCTCATAAAGAACAAATATCTCACTTTCTATTTAAGAACTCCTGTTTGATCTGGGGGCACTTCTTATGTTCTTATGAGTATGATGCTTGGGACAGAAGTAGAAGGGACAATGTGTGTTTCATGGTGAGTAATGAGAGAGGGAAAGGACTGTAACTGACAAACAAGTGAGTTTGCCTGTGCTGCCTCCTCGCCTTGGGTAAAACAAGCACTGTCTGTTAGACTGAAGAGGTGGTCTGATGTTCAGAATCCAGACTCGTACAGAATTAGAAAATCATCACCAGCTATACGTTCCTGGTGAGTAGGGTGGGAAGTTAGTGGTCACTTGGTACCGAGGGGGTATAGCAGAGACTATTAATAGACATTAAGTCTACTAGGTATGCCTCTACATATTCCAGTCTTCCTCGTCATTAGATTGGGGCTAGGTGATAAGTTCTTGACAATGAAATATATGTGGAAGTTCTGTGTTACCTCTGGGATGAGGGGATTAAGGCACATGGGCTTCCAGTTCTCCTTTTCTTTGCTATGGTGTCCTTGGAGGTCATCTGTTCCAGATGGCATGGCTACAAGATAGAAGAGGGCCAACCACTCTATATCAAATATTATGTGAGCAACACATAAACCTTCGTTATTTGTCACTGTATCAGTCTAGCCTGTCCTGACTAATACAGGCACCAAAGCAGTGTTCCATTTAGGATATCAGAATCTTAGTGCAAGAAATTAAGCTACTCACACCCACAATGTATAGTTCCTTTTAGAGACACAAACTCTGCCAGGATGATCAGATTTCATGTTTTCCAAGACTCTCTTCGACAAAACTTTGTCTCTGAAGGAGAATGGTTTGTCATGAAATAGTAACTTCAAGTGTAGAGGCAATCTCTCCTAAGGACACACATCTTCCAAATATCACAAAGCATCCAAAATTTACTGAATACCTCATGAAATCTCTTCCTAGGCACCTATCATCTCCTTCTGCTACTTCCCATTTTACTGATGACACTGGACACAAATGCTGGCTTGTAGCCTTTATACACAGCACTCCCTCATACATTAGGTTCCCATAAAAAACAGGAGACACAACTAAGTTTCTATTTATCAAAGCTATCTGATAGTGGCAAGCACCTGTAGTCCCAGCTACTTGGGAGGCTGAAGCAGGAGGACTGCCTGACCCCAGGAATTCAAGTCCAGCTTCGGCGACATAGCAAAATTCCATCTCAAAAAAAAAAAAAAAAAAAAAAAAAAAATCTCAGCATCTCATAGGCCCTGGTTCAGCATACTTTTAAAGTTTAGAATAAGAGGGAGAGGAACATCCTTCATTCACTGTCTCCACGATGTCTAACATTCGCCTCAATCTCTCATTGAGCCAGCAGGTCCAGCATAAGATAGGAAGCACAACACTTCATTTATTTATTTATTTATTTTGAGACAGAACCTCACTCTGTAACCCAGGTTGGAATGCAGTGGAACGATCTCCATTCACTGCAACCTCTGCCCCCCAGCTCAAGAGATCCTCCTGTCTCAGCCTCCCGAGTAGCTGGCACTACAGGCATGCACTACCACATCCGGCTAATTTTGCATTTTTAGTAGAGACAGGGTTTCACCATGTTATCCAGGCTGGTCTCAAACTCCTGACCTCAAGTGATCCACCTGCTGTGGCCTCCCAAAGTGTTGGGATTACAGGTGTGAGCCACCATGCCTGGCCAGGAAGCACAACAGTTTAAACCTTGAAAACAAAAGGGCTTGAACAACTTTGGCTTGACACTCTTCACAAAAGAGGGAAGACCTCTCTTAGCCATTTTTCCCTATAACCATTTGAAAGCTCTGCCTTTCGGAGCATCTACTTACTGAGCTGACAGGGACCCCACTTTGCTTATTGCAAAAGCCCAAACTATGTCTTTAAAAATGTTTCTTTAAAAAGCAGGTCACATCACCAATGAAAGTTTGAGAACTTACATACACAGAGAAATATTGTTCTTGGGTTACTGACATGATAAAAATTTCGATATATTCTCCCCCTAAAGGAACTGGTGAGAAGGCCTGTCTGGTGGTAAGGGGCTAGACAAAAGCCATGGCTTGGGTCATGTGTACAAGCTTACCCCTTGCTCCACAACTGGAATCTGGTTCTGTTGGGAGAAGCCAGTCAGAGAAGTCCTTACATCTCTGACCCCAAAAACCTTTTCTCAGCACTGCCCAACACTCCTGTTATACAACATGTAAAATAAATAATCAACCTTAAAAGTCAGGCAGCCAAAGCTCTACTCGAATAATAAGCCCTTTTACAAACTGCTTGTCATCTGCCAAAATCAGCTCCAAAGGAACACTAGGAACTCAAAATTCTATTGTTCACATTAACTACTTGGGGTAACTAGACAAGCTTCAGTGGCTTTATTGGTTTTCTGAGAGACAAGCGACATTAAGATTTTCATCTACCTGCACCTTGTCTTTGATCTCAATAACTTGAATGTAGCTCCAGTCCCACCATCTCTGAGAGGCCTCTGTTAAAACGGTGAGCTAGAAAGGGGCCCCAGCCCTTTCTTAGAACATATGCTATTCTCTACTTTTCTCCTGCCTGATTGTTAGGGTGGGAAAGAAAGAATCTAAATGCCAACTTTTTCAGAAAATTCATTGAAAGGGAGGGAGAGGGCCAGACAGTAGCATCTGAAATTTAGTCTTCTGCTGGTGAGGGCCCTCTGGCTTAAGTTCAAAAGGAAAGAGGCGCTTCGCCCAAGGAAAGCTATTTAAAACTGTTTGGTACACTTTGGAAAGCCTCATGGTACACTGTTGGCCCAGAACAGGTTGTCTGGGGTTCAAAATGCAGGGTGAGGTTTTTTTTTAGGCATCGGACAAGATTTATTGCATGACAATGCCACATTTTCTGAGAAGCATTAAAATTTATCTGAGGCCCCTAAACTAGACGGCAGTATCAACACTGGTCTTGGTTATATGCCTTTATCATAAAATTCTCAAATAGCAGATTGAAGTTTCCATAAAACAATTAGCCCTGTTTCTCTTTCCATGCAAAAAGGACAGACAGAAGCTATTCAAACATTCTTTTTCAAACCAGATGTCAACAAAGAATCCTCAAGTCTAGATGCAATGTTGAATCCAGTAACAGTGCTCCTAAAACCAACCAGATCTCTCAAAAGGCAAGGGAGGGAGGGGGAGGTGAATGGCAGTGCAGTCACTGTGCTGCCAAGTGAGACAGAGAGCATCACTGTCTGGAGGTCTCTCGTTAAGTGGTATTATTAAGAAAATCTTCCAGGTAAATGCTTTCAGTGAAACAAAAACAAACAAACAAAAGAAAATCTGATAGGAGAAATCTGTTATAAAACTCATCTCTGATGAACCATAAAAGGGATTTCAATGTGTACTTGACATTAATATCCCAGGACTGTCAACCCACAGATGCGAAGCTGAGGATTTCCCTTCTCTATAAGGCCTTACTACCCTGCCTTTTCCTGTTACTATTCCCTCCTGTTAAATTGGTCCCTTCTTCTGTTAGGTTCCATACATATGGATTTGATCACACTTGTTTCCTTCACTAGCTTGTAGGTTTTCTGAGAGCAGGGACCCAGCCTTATTCATCTCTGCACCTCCATTGTTAGCACAATTCCTGGAACATTGTAGGTGGTCATTAAATCATTTAATTGCTGATAATATTAATAATACTTATAGTTGGCTGGATGCCATGGCTCACGCCTGTAATCCCAACACTTTGGGAGGCCAAGGCGTGTGGATCACGAGGTCAGGAGTTTGAGACCAGCCTGACCAACATGGTGAAACCCTGTCTCTACTAAAAATACAGAAAAAAAATTAGCTGGGTGTGGTGTCAAGCAATTGTAATCCCAGCTACTCAGGAGGCAGAGGCAGGAGAATCGCTTGAACCCAGGAGACAGAGGTTGCAGTGAGCCGAGATGGTACCACTGTACTCCAGCCTGGGTGAACTGCGCTGCAGCCTGGGTGACAGAGCAAGACTCCATCTCAAATAATAATAATAGTAACAATACTTATAGTTAACTTTTGAGTGTTCAGAAACTCTATGTTTAACATCCTATATTTCTCCTCATTTTCCAGGTAAGAGAGCTGAGGCACTGAGATGTTAAGTATCATGCCTAATCTCATCCAGCAAATAAGTGGCAAAGCAACAATACAAACTAGGTGATTGGCTCCAGAATCTTCATTTTTTTTTCTTTTTTTTTGAGACCAAGTCTCACTCTGTCACCCAAGCTGGAGTTCAGTGGCACAATCTAGACTCACTGCAACCTCTGCCTCCTGGGTTCAAGCAATTCTCCTGCCTCAGCCTCCCAAGTAGCTGGGATTACAGGCGACCCACCATGCCCAGCTAATTTTTAGTAGAGACAGGGTTTCACCGTATTAGCCAGGATGGTCTCGATCTCCTGACCTCATGATATGCCTGTGTCGGCCTCCCAAAGTGCTGGGATTATAGGCATGAGCCACCGTGCCCAACCCCATTCTTAACTACTATACAGAGTGGTACACAGGAATGAATGAGTGATCTCATAAAAGGGTTATATACCTATGAAACTATTAAACAAGAACTTAAATTGGTTTGATTTAGAAACCTGGTTTATTCACACAAAAATGGATTAAGTACCTAGTACTCTCTGCCAAGCCCAGCAATATGCATTAGTGGTACAAAGACAAAAATATGGTCTTATTCCTCAGCGAGAAGAGAGACAAATGACAAAAGATCACTAAGCACTTACTATGTGCTGGGCACTGTTCTAAGTACTTCACATTGTTAATCTCTTTAATCTTTACAAAATCCCTATTATGAAACCCTTATTATATTGTTATTATTAAATTGAGATGAGACAGATAAGAAACTGAGGCTTGGGGAGGTTAAGCAACTTGCAAGAGCCACCATTTGAATACAAACAGCCTAGCTCCAGAACCCATGCTCTCATCACTGCCCTCTACTGCCTTTTCAGTTTACAACCACACAACCATAACACAATGTGATATATGCTAAGAGGAAGAAAGGAAAAAGTATTATAGATGCAGAGAGGAAATGATGACTTTTGCCAGAGAGGGGGCTCAAAGAAGGCTCTGTGGAGCAGATAACATATGAGCTCAGCCTTGAAGGCATGAGAATAGGAAAGAAATGGAGGCTGGGCACAGTGGCTCACGCCTATAATCCCAGCACTTTGGGAGGCTGAGGCAGGCATGTCACTTGAGGTCAGGAAGTTCGAGACCAGCCTGGCCAACATAGTGAAGCTCCACTCTACTAAAGGTACAAAAATTAGCCAGGCGTGATAGCAGGCACCTGTAGTATCAGCTGCTTGGGAAGCTGAGGCAGGAGAACTGCTTGAACCCAGGAGGTGGAGGTTGCAGTGAGCCAAAATCACACCACTGTACTCCAGCCTAGATGACAGAGTGAGACTGTCTGAAAAACATAAAAATAAAAATAAAAAATAAAAAAATTCAAACCAAAACGCTACATGGAGCCCAGTAAAACTTGTATGTGTTTTCAAAGCCATCACTACTAAAGTACAAAGCTAAGAAGCAAGCCCAGCACTATACTGTCTTCTGCTGCTGAGATCACATCTCACCAAGGAACAGGGAAATGACCAGTGACTCTGTGGCCAGAATGTTTACGTCAAGTTTCCCACTTGGTTGAAACATTTCCTGAGGTTTTAGTCAGCTTCACAGAACCTGTAAGAACTTCTTTTCCTCTCCCTTCCATGCAATAGATAACATTTCTGGAAGGAGATCCTTAGACTCTCTTTAGTGTAACTTGAGGCCAGATCTTCCAAAGTTAAAAAAAGAGGCTAGAATCACCATGTATGTGAAAAGGATAGCTGGACCTCACAGCCCCAGTTTTTTTCCATACATGAAGATACTTTGTTCTGCTAACTGCAGAGGTTCTGAATTCAGTTTTATTAAAGAGCATCCATGGGTTCCCTTAGAGTTCATTCCACTCAAACCTATTGGCAACATCCCCTCCTGTCATATCTGCCTTCCCTGAGGATTACTGGGTACAACCCCCAAGAAATGAAGGTGAATAAGTACAAGTGAACTCAACTCTCGGTAAGTACTCCCAGAGCAAACTTGCAATTATTTCTCCCACTCAAAATACCCTTTCTTGATCCCACATACCATTTGAGTTACTGCCTCATTTCTCTGCTCATCTTTAAAACAAAAATCTTCAAAAGATTTGTCTATACTCTCTGTCTACAATTTTTTCTTCTCTTTCCTTTTTGAACCATTCTCATCAAAATTTTGTCCACTGAAACAGCTCTTATCAAGGCTCCTAGTGACCTCTATGTTGTTAAATTCTACCAAAAATTCCCAGCCCTCATCTTACTTGGCCAACTGGAAGTATTTTTCACAGTTGAGATCATGCTCTCTTCATTGAAGCGTCTTCTTCACTTGGCTTCCAGGATTCTATTCTCTTCTGCTTTTCCTACTACCTTCTGGCCACTTTCTCTTAGCCTCCATTGCTTGTTCCTCTTTACGTTCCTAAACTCTAAATGTTGAGATGTCTCAGGGCTTGGTCCTTGGTCGCCTTCTCTTCTCTAACTATTCTCACTCCTTGGTGATTTCGTCCATATCATATCTTAAATACTATGTAGATGCCTATGACTCAAAAAATCTTTATCTCTGGCCTGGGCCACTCCTCTGAATGCCAGGCTCAGACATCCCACAGCGTATTCAACATCCCCACTTAGGTGTCTAACTGGCAGCTCAAATTAAACACATCCAAAATTGAGCTTCCAGTATACTCCCAGCCCTGTTTATCCAACAGTCTTCACCATTACAGTTAGTGTCAACTCTATCTTTCCGACCATTCAGGCCAAAAGCCCTGGCATCATCTTGCACAGAGATGCTGTGTTACAGAACTCCAGGGGGCACCAGTCACATTTTCGTCAATGCTATTAGTGTTATGCCATATGGTGACCCTGCTTTTCTTGATTCCTCTCATATCCTACATCTGATCTGTTAGCAAATCCAGTTGTCTCTACCTTCAAAATGTATCTAAAATCCAACAACTTCTCCCCAGTTCCACTGTTCCTCCCCGACCCAAGCTTGCCCCCTTATAATTTACTTTCCACAAAACAACCACAGCAATCCTTATAAAATATAAGTCAGATCACATCATTCCCCTACTCAAAATTCCCCAATGCTTCCCATCACATTCAAAATTCTTACAATAGCCTACGAGATGCTGCATTGCTTTTTTCTTTTATATTTATCCCTATCTACTAGACTGTATATTTTCTTTCTTTATCTCACTTATTGTCTGCTGCCCATATGTGAATATATGCTCCATAAAGTCGGGGGCTTGGTCCGTTTTATTCACAGATGAAACCCCAGCATATACAGCAATACTTGACACAAAGTATGCACAATATGTATTTGCAAATGGAATAAATGAAATAGATGGGTTAGGGGGAAATCTTGGCACATGAGCCAGAATTATACCAAACCACAATATGACAAGTGAAATGGCATTTGAGGAGCCAGCTAGTGCTGTGACATCGTCAAAGCCCAGGAGATGTTTTCAGTTCCTACTTCCTACCATTGTTTTGACATTTTGTCTGAGGAAGTCTTCCTTCTTTTGTCTCCCGCAGAAAGAAATTGACTATATAGCATAGTAAGGAGCTCCCCCTAGTGGCAGCAACTCCATCAAAGCAATGGAATAGAAAATCATAGCTTGGTGCTTGAAATTACAAAGATGACTGGGGACAAAGGAAGTGACTCCACCATTTCACAGGGAAAGTCCTCAGTGGAAACATTGGGGTTCCAAAGATTGGATCTGAAGTACATGGTAGAACTTACCAATTCACTTTATTGTTGAACCTCTTTTGCATCTGATGATGGGGAAAAAATAATTCATTTAAAATTGAACAACAGGCTGGGCACAGTGGCTCACGCCTGTAATCCCAGCACTTTTGGAGGTCAAGGTGGGCAGATCACTTGAGGTCAGGAGTTCGAAACCGGCCTGGCCAACGTGAAGAAACTGCTAAAAATACAAAAAAATAGCCAGGCGTGGTGGCATGCACCCATAATCCCGGCTACTTGGGAGGCTGAGGCGCAAGAATTGCTTGAACCCGGGGAGTGGAGGTTGCAGTGAGCTGAGATCATGCACTGCACTCCAGCCTGGGCAACAGAACAAGAATCTGTGTCAAAAAAAAAAAAAAAGTTGAACAACATATGTACCTACTCTCAAGGAATTTAAAATCTGGTAGAGAATGTAACTCATGAATACAAATAAGCACAAAGCAATGAGTATGGATGTAAATCAGTGAATATGAGCCAAAAGAGATGAATAAACTAAAAGATATGACTCACTCAGGAAAAAGAGGGATTATTTTAGGCTGAGGAAATCCAGGAAAACATCTTGGAGGGAGTGGTTCTTGAGCAGCACCTTGAAAGACAAACAAAATTTAAATAAGCAAGTACTACAAGTAAAGACCGAAATCTAGAGAAGGGCACATGACGTCAAATTCCAAGCAGATCAGCGGGGCTTTGTAAAGGTCACAATTTGGGTGACAACACAGAACCTGAAACCCTCCTCGAAAAGAGCAGAGAGGGATTAGTGAGACAAAGGTCCTTGGCAAAGGTAAACACAGGCAGAAACCAAAGAAAGTCCCTTTCTTCATTTTCCCTTGGATGAAAGGAACACGACTTAAATATATAGGGAAAAAAAATAATAATATAACTGGAAGCAGTTATTCTCTTCCACAGGCATGACTACTGAGGCAATTTTCTGGTGAACCTAGAATAGGGGTCCATAAACTTTTTATTTAAAGGGCCAGATAGGCTGGGCACAGTGGCTCATGCCTGTAATCCCAGAACTTATGGGAGGCTGAGGCGGGTGGATCACTTGAGCCCAGGAGTTCAAGACCAGCCTGGGCAACATGGTAAGACCTCATCTCTATAAAAAATTTAAAAATTAGCTGAGCATGGTGGGGCACACCTGTAGTTCCAGCTACTTGGGAGGATGAGGTGGGTCGGTCGCTTGAGCCCAGGAGTTCAAGGCTGCAGTAAGCCATGATCACTCCACTGCACTCCAGCCTGGGTGACAGAGTGAGACCTTGTCTTATGAATAAATACATAAATGAACAGATTGTAAATATTTGTGACTTTGTAAGTCAAATACAGTTTCTGTCGCAACTACTCAACTCTGCCATCAGAGGGTAAAAGCAGTGATAGACAATACATAAATAAATAAACAATAAAACTTTATTTACAAAAATAGATGGCAGACCAGATTTGGTCCACGGCCGAAGTCTGCTGACTCCTGGCCTACAATAAGAGAAGCAGTTACATGATTCCAATGCTTAATCACATCAGGCTTTGGTAGCCTGATGTGCTCATGCATGCAACAGAGATACACCTAACTCTAGAGAAGGGCACATCATGTCAGGTTCTTGGGCTGAGTTCCTTCTTTTCTGACCACTGCTTAGATGTATACTGCCAATATTTGCCTCTCTGGTCCTTCTTTTTAATTGCTGGTCACCCTACAAAATCCAGTCTCATTTTGAAAACCTCCATTATAAGAAAGCTATTGATAGGGCTATTGTTAGGGCTCATACGGTAGCATTTATCTTGATACATTTTCTGCTTTTTCATGGTCTGGACTTCACCTTGGCTTTGCAGGATAAGAAATCCAATCTAGGCCAGGTGCAGTGGCTCATGCCTATAATCCCAACACTTTGAGAGGCCAAGGTGGGGGGATCACCTTAGGTCAGGAGTTCAAGACCAGCCTGGCCAACATGGTGAAACCCCGTCACTACTAAAAATACAAAAATTAGCCAGGCAACACTGGTGGGGGCCTGTAGTCCCAGCTACTCAGGAGGCTGAGGCAGGAGAACTGTTTGAACCCAGGAGGTGGAGGTTGCAGTGAGCCGAGATCATGCTACTGCACTCTAGCCTGGGTGACAAAGCAAGATTCTGTCTCAAAAAAAAAGAAAGAAAAAGAAAAAAGAAATTCAACCTAGAGTCATCTGAAATTGGGAAGACTATGAAAGCTCTACTTATCAGTAAAACTCCCAGAGGAATGCCAGTAGCATTAGTTTACATTCAGTAGCATTTCACAGAGAATACCCCGATACTTTGTTACCTGCAAGGGCGGGGGGGG